AAATTTAAACGAAAATTCTTTCTACTTGACATTGTAACTAGGTTTTTCGATTTCAAAATATCAGTTAGTATAGTGACATCTGGAACATTTTGTACTATATTCCCAGTATTAAAATCTTGAATAACGAAATTGTCGATAGCATTGCAGTGGTCTTCACAGAGCTTCAGTTGACGGCGAAGACGTCCAAACTGATGGACTCGAATCAAAGAAAAATTAATTTTATTCTGTTATCATCCACATCTGGTATAACGTCATTAAATGTACTGTACTGGTTTTACGCTAGATATCAAATCAGTTTCTTTCCCCCTCCCCCAAACGTGACCATTTGTTTCAGAATGATTTTGATATATTTAATATTGTGACATGTTGCGAAATCTGAGCCCCCCCCCCACACCAGCAGTGACGCGGTGGGTGAGTCAGCGCTCCCCTCCCACCCCTCAGCGGTAACGTAACGCTCGCGGTAATAGGCGAGNCGAAAGTTCATCACCGTGTTCACAAGAGCCCTCCACTGGTCCCTATCCTGAGCCAGATCTATATCCATTTTCATTAGTGACCAGTCATACAGCCCCAAGTTTTCATTATAACAACTAGAAGCCAGTTACACAATCCAAAGTTTTCATTAGAACAAATAGAGGCCAGTCATGAAATTCCAAGTTTCCATTAGAACAACTAGCGGTAACATATCGTCACGTGTTGGATGTATAACGCGACAAATAACTTCACGCCTTATTGGATATAGCGAATTTTATTTCACATACATATACAGTCCAGCATTCCCATTAGAACAGTTATACCTACAACCCGACGATTCTATTAGAAAAACCAGAAGCTCGTAATACAGTGAGCCGATTCTTTAGAATCAGAGCCCAGTTATAAAATCCGACGTTTCCTACGAGACTAGAAGCCAGTTAGACAATTCGAAGATTTTATAGAACAACTAGAGGCTAATTACATAATCCGACTATTTCACTACTATTACTACAGGTCGGTTATACGTTCTGACATCAATAAGTATAACTAGAGACCAGTATTTCCTTATTAAGAAAAATTGGAGGGAAATTGCAGAATCTCTTTGTAAGTACCCCAAGATACAGCACTGCAGTTCGATATATCCATAAGAATAACAAGCCTTGGACAATATGGTCTGACCTGGATATGTTAGGATTACATCTTTTTGAAATTTGCCAACTTTTCTACGGATGTAACCTGATGATTTTGGGGAACAACGTATGATACTGAAACCATATCAACCATAAAACTGGTTCATAAAAATAAAATATACCATCAATGGCAATCTAAATGTATTCCTTGATATATCTGGTTGTTTATTGATATAAATATCAAAGAAAACAAAACATGTTTAACTTAAAGTGTTCGTATTGTCTGTATTTTATTACCTTTTTCCACATCACATAAGCACTCAAAACACCACAGATGTGTATGAAAGAGCCTTATCAGAGTTTCACAACATTATACACCATCAGAACCAGCATGCGTCTACAGGGAATTCCGTGGGAAAGCCTGAGAACGGCGGTCTGTGTGAGGTTATACTTCAACGATTCAACCCTTTCTTTCCGGTCAGAATGCTGAAGCAAGGAGGTAAGGAGCGATAAGCCGCTAAAGTAGAAACAACATGGTGTATTGCGCATCAAATCTTCTGTCTAAAGTAATACTCTCAAGCAAATATATACATTGGGTTTCTATACGTGCAAACCACTAACAAGCATTTGAATTTATAGATGCATATTAAATAAATAAGCATGAAGGCACCCTTCCTTTGAAAGGAGAATTTGCTCGTACATTTCAGTGGAATAGTTTGCAAGCTAACAGTGTTGCAGATCATGCTGACCTCGAGGTCTCTGTCAATATTGAATCTGTCAGCTACACGAGAGTGGTTTGCTAGTTTCTGCACCAGTTCGAGCAGTTACTTCTACGCTCCGATGTCCTGTGCAGATAAGAGGCCTGTCCCTTTCCTAGAGATTCTACGAACAGTAGATTCACAAGCTCAGAATTCATTCCAAATAGGAGTGGACCGCAAGGTTTATTCCGTGAGACCTGGTAACGATGAAGGCAAGTCTGTAATGTCTTATAATTCCTCAAAGAGCGGAACCATTTCAAATGACGTAGATGGTGCTAAATTGATCACGCCATTTTTCTTTCATTTTTTGTTGTTATGTTAAAAGGGTTGTAAAACGTAATGGAAATACAGAAATGCTACAAAACTCATATAGCTCATAAAAATTGTTAAGATTACTAGGCTATGTCCTCAGACAATTATCATGAGCGCCAGGACGTCAGATTTTGACCATGGGCCTATTACTTTCACTATGAAGATAATGTAGTCGATCAGTCTTTATACGTTGTAATGCTGTAGAATTTCGGCAAGGGTTTTGTAACTTTTAGGTATTATCTTGGGTTCACAGTTAGAGAAGTCAGGCGAAGGGTTAATGTTTGTAGTAGAATGCAGGAAGTAGCAACGTCAGTAGAAAATTGTCGCATTGCTTAGACTGCTGATTAACGCGGAACAGACGGCAGACGGCCAAAGCGGACAGAGCCGACTCAGCGAGACCGGCCTCTCTCTACGGAGATGACCAACCAGGACGGATCTTTGGGGGAGAATTCGCTCAATTAAGGGGCGGAGCTGACCCCAAAGACAGGAGTCAGCAGAGGAAAGGTTATAAAGAAGCTGACACAACTGGAGGAGCTATCTTTTGATCCATCTTTTGATCAGTCTATACACATCAATCTATATCAATCAATCTATCCATGTATCTGAGTGTACAAATGTTAAGTGAGAAGCCAGCCAGAGGCCAATAGGGCCAGAGCCATGGTCGTGCCAGACCAAGTGTGGGGACACCATCAGCTTCCTACACCAAGTAAATGGAACTGTTCATATCAGTCATGGATATATAAAGTGTGATGTTATTAAAGTGCCATGTTACACGGTTAGGGCAGAGAGATTAGGCCCTGAGTAGGAACGTAGGAACCTCGAGAGTTAGGATGGTGAACCCAAGTGCGTTTTCATCCAAATTACAATGTGTACGTAACCGGCCACTGTCGGCTACGAAAGTGATATGTATATAAGTGTATATATTAGTAGACAAAAGTAGACCAAGTAAGAGGGATGCGTGTGTTAATGCCTTACCCACAGTCACACCCTCTATCTCCCCGATCTCACGTACCTCCCAGGTTAGAGATACTGTGAACTCACAGCCTACAGGTAGCTAACGAGACAATTAACTGGCCATTCCCCAAGGGCGCAACGGCATGGATGGCGGAAGAGTTGGAGAGAATCCTCCACTCCCCCTACGCCATAACATACATGTATACAGTATATTGTCACGTTATTAGTGACTATGGAAGGTGTTTTGGATTGATAATTGGATTTATTCGACACTTACACATAATAACTGCAAGTAACCATAGCGCTACCGTTAATTGACACAATCTACAGTTCACTACAGCAAGCGCTAAATCTTCTAGTTTGCTGTCCCTTCAATCGGTTGCTTGGTAACGGCTTTGGAGATTCTTCAGACTCCGTGTTCTACGGCTTCGGCCCTCGCCGACTGGTGTCTATCTCACAACGATTGCTACGCATCAGCTTACAACAATGGGTTATCCGTCGCCTCCCACGCCTCCGTCAGGGGAGACTCTCTGTCACGACCTCCGACGGTCTGCCTTCCAACTGCTATCCGCTAGCCTCGGGACGGGCTCAACAAAAGCATGACGTAGCTATCGGCGCGGACTCGCAAAGAACACCGTTCTCATTGGTACTTCCAATGGTTAAGTTGCGGGGCGTGACGTATTCCATTGTTACGTCATTGTTTATTGTGCAATAACATATTAACGGGCGTCTCTTCTTGTTAACCTAATCCGGCTTTCAACGGACATGCCACTACATATATTTAAAATGAGAAAATTGCCTTCTGCTGATTATCCCGTGTGTCTACATTTTGGCGACTGTTTGTTGATGACTTTCCACGCTGAACAGGAAACACAAATGACAGACTCTTTCCCAGATAATTCGCTTATCAAATGCTGCCTGTGGTTTGGTGCCGCGACTTTCTGAACAGACACACTAAAACAACAAAGAATTTGTTTTATAATCATGTGCAGATTGTACAGCAATCGTGCACAACTATATCCTGTAATACACTCAATATCATGACTTATGTTTATGCGGTTTTCCTCAGTACCTCCATGTAGATTCCGGAGCAGCACCTTAAGATGGACCACGATCTTCCACATATTTTCAGTCTCTCGTTCAACATAATTCTGAAGTTTGAAGTTGTATAAACTAAGAAGGTGAAAATGTAATGAAGAAAGCAGTCTTCTGGGATTTGGCACCGTGTATATGTGGTGTTAACCGACGTTTCGGAGGAACGTATCGCCTCCATCGCCACGTATTTTTCCACAGTCTGCTTTTACCGGTTCTCACGGTCTCTTTGCTTGCAGATTTCTTATATATTTTTTCTTATACCCTGAAGATGGAGGCGATACGTTCCTCCGAAACGTCGGTTAACACCACATATACACGGTGCCAAATCCCAGAAGACTGCTTTCTTCATAATCACCGCCGTGAAAGCCTCAAATCTTACACGTGAAAATGTAATGTTAAACAAGAGCTTCTTCTTTTGCATTAGGCCCTCTGGCCTGTTTTCCGTCAGAATTAATCTGGAACTATGGACCTTACAGACAGTCGGATTCTTAGACAGGTGATCAGCCCAGCCCCAAGGCCACTATCTACACACATAACATAAACACAGAAGAAACACGGACATCCATGCCTCGAGTGGAATTCGAACCCAAGATGCTAATGCTTGAGTAAGCGAAAATATTTTTTGTCTTCCATCCAGCCACTGCAATCGGCAAGCAAAAGCGTGAAATAATATGTCAAATGAAAGCAAGCAAGTTGTATCCGGCACAGGAAATGGAATGTCGTATCATTACTCGAAATTCAAGGTGAGCCTGTGGAGAGTGAACCTCTCAGCGCAGTAATAAATCGCGTGACATTCCCAAGTTTAACAGTATTGTCCGCGCTGTTGGTGCTTCGAGAACTTCGCTGCCACACACGGCTGTAAGGTACGTACGTACCTATACACGAACGGCGAGACGAGGGAGCAAGTTCATATCACTTTCAGGCTCTTTACTGTAACAAAACATGTCAAAATTAGACTTAAAAGTGAATCGGTATCAGATATTCGATATGATATTGAAGAAATATTCTGTATGGATAAATTTATTATATATAATTTAAAACGTTGGGTGACGTATGCTTTGATAGAGAGATTACAATATATGACGAAGAATTCGAACTGGACTGAAAACATTTGTTCATGAAGGTAGATATGAAGATCAGAGTGTCGTGTAAAGAGGAATATCTTTTCTGCTTGAATATCTCTCACTCGCTGAAGGGATATTCTACGCTGTGGAATGTAATTAAATATATTCAATTTCTTAAAATTCAACATGAAATAACCATTTAATTTTTATCTCGATGCTTTCAGTATACATAATGATGTCGACATAACTTTCGAAAAAAAGGCCTACATTATTTTACTTTCTCGTGTAGGTAATGCGGTAAGCCGGGATAGCGTAGTCCGTATAGCGACTGGCTATGGGCTGGACGACTGAGGGGTCGGAGCTCGAGTCCCGGTGGGGTCAAGGACTTTCTCTTCTCCACGTCGTCCAGACTGGCTCTGGGGGCCATCCAGTCTTTTATCAATTCGGTACCGGGGGGATCTTTCCCCGGGGGTAAAGTGACAGGAGCGTGAAGCTGACCACTCATCTCCAACTAGTACCGAGGTCAAGAAAATACGGATCTATACATCCACTCCCCCATACGCGTTCATGGCGTAGTGCTTAATTAGTTAACCAAACGGACAACTTTATCTTTATACGTAACACGAATAAATATTTTTACAGAGAAAAATTCGATCTCAAGGTTTTAAAGAATCTACACTCTTTCAGTGTCTTTTAATAAAAAATGGTGTTTATTTTTTCGAACGCCGTCTATCTGCTTGTAGATATGTGCGCCTCGCTAGCGCCAGAACGTCTGAATGGCTTTTATTCATATTCGTTATTTAAGAGCTTATGTTTTATTGGTGGATGCCCGGTGAATATAAACAATCCAAATCCAAAAAGAAGGGGCCTCTCTTGGGGTCACCCAAACGAAAATTTGCGATTTTCTCGAACTTCGGTTATTTATGGAGAAACCTCTCTAAATATAACCTCATACGCGGTGTCAAGAGAAACGTAGCGGTATGCGAACCATAGACCCAAAATTCCAACACCGCCCCCTCCACAGGCGCAGTTTCTTTCTGATATTTCTAACGTATTTGATTAAACTGCGGCAGTTCGGAGTAAGGTTGCTTCAAAATAAATCTCCACTGCTCATATTACACATAAAGAACGTACTAATCTCTAGGAGTTCTGAGGACTTTAGGGACTTTAGTTCTAGGCTAAGAGATCGTGTGTATTTCAAGCAGATATATATTTTTCTGAAATATTTTGAGATAAAAGGAGGTTGCGATCCGTCACGAGAATGTGAGAAATATCTGCAACACCTCTGCACCGATCTTCACCTGTTTCAAGGCAAAACTGTCGTTTAACGTAGGTACCAAGCCAAAAATATTTATTGAGGAGTGAAGGCGATGATCCACGCGTTCTTTACCCCATAAGTAGAGGGTGTACGTGGTCAGGTGCATACTCAGACAACTTTGCTCCCTCCAACGTCTCTGAGAGGAAGATGAGTCACATAGTCGGGGACAAAGAGGAAGAATACATTTGTTGAAAATTTATTTGCCTGAAGTGATAGAAATATCACCAAAATATCAGTCAGAAAAGCAGGAATCCGTGCCGGTGTTTTATCTGGGGGCATAGGATTTCTCATCCTTACAGATCGTATTTCATTGTATATTAATACCAGACTCCAGGCATGAAGCGTATTATGTAGGTCCCTTCTCAAAACCTCAAGGAATATCCTCATGTTGCGGATGGGGGAGAGTGACTCCAAGTATGGAGCCTTGCTGGAAATATTAACCCAGGAGCCGCGCACAGCAGACAGAGGTTGGTTCACCAGTATGGGTGATTGGAGAACAGATAACACCTCCACACTATAAAATTCAGCATGTTACGAAATTTTGCACAAGGCTGAGAGACTATTAGTTATCAAAAATGACTTTGTTCCATGGAGTTAATTAATTGCAGTCATAAATACAAGAATGACGTCTTCTGGGATGTGGCGGCGTGTAGATCTTATGTGAACCGAAGTTTCGGAGGAGCATATTGCCTCTATCTTCATGGTAGAAATATCGATGAGCGAGGAACCAGTGTGACCAGGTGGCTGCAGAAACCTGCTAACGTTGGTTCCTCGCTCTCGGATTTATGTACCATGAAGATGGAGGTGATACGTTCACACAAGATCTACACGGCGTCACATCCCAGAAGACGGAATTCTTCAGTCACCGCCGTGAAAACCTCAAATTTTACATAAACACAAGAACCAACTCTCAATCCAGGTAACTGATCTAACGCGACGTCCTTAAGAGCTATTTCACATCGAAGGTTCATCAGAATTGCTCTAAATATGTGTTATATAATAAAGTTACAAGTTTATGTCATTTAAGATTACATACATGTTTAAGCTTGCGTAACTGATACATGACTGAACATCCCACTCATGTAGTCACAGTATAATTCAAACTGAGATATGCTTTGAATTCCGTGCCCCACTCTGAATGGCACGAGGTCAGCAAGCGCTCAAGGGCGACTGAGATTCTTTGCTATCCTCAAAAATCATGCTAGGAGAGTAGGTAGATTCTAAAGGGTTCTGATGTTGGTGTAAAACACTCAGAATTAATGGGTTTTTGGAATTCTTTTCATCGTCCAGTATTCTAGAAACTAAGAAACACGGCGTTTGGAAACTTGATTTGTTTCCGTCTTCAGGTGAGGGGGAAGAAGGCCGCGCCATAGCTCAAGCGGTTAGTCGCTGACTTCCCACCGCGGCGGCCCGGGTTCGATCCCGGGTCTGGTCAAGTGGGATATGTGGTGGAGAAAGTGGCGCTGGGGCGGGTTTTCTCCGAGTATTTTGGTTTCCCTTCCCAATCATCATTTCACCAATTTCTCCATCATCATATCACCCGCGGCAGTCTACAATAGGCCAATCAGTGGCCGCCGTGCCGAGTGGACCCAGTTGAACTCCAATCACCACTAAGTGAGGGGGAGGAAGACACCTATTCAGTTTGGTCCCTTAGGATAGTAGGGATGCATTAATCCACACCGCCATCATTAGAGATTAGTAGGTCGATTAGAATTAAGAAGGGTGGATTGTTAGTCGTATCGTGACCAAGATTGTTCACCATTCTGTAATATTCTAAGCTGACATTCTCTTCCTGTTTCGCGACAGGATCTAGAGCTTAGTATTCGCGCATGATGTTAAATATTTCTATTAATATATAAGAATACAGACGAAATATGAGAGTTAAATTTAGGCTAATAAGTAATATAGAAAATTATTACGAGGGTTGAAAATTTAAACAGGAACAACAGAGTTGGATAAATATTGAAAGTGTCAAAGGCCATACAGCACGACAGTGTCATCAAGGTCTTCAAGAGGCTTGCGGGGATTCTGCATTGCCTTACAAAACAGTGGCAAAGTGGGTAAAAACCTTCAACGAGGGACACCAAAATGTGGCAGACGTCGGCCAGGTCGTCCTAGTGTCAGTGAAGAAGAAGTGTATGCTCTTTCCGCGTTACTGGAGAGTGATCGACGCCATACGATTCGTGAGCTGGCCCGAGAGACAGGTTTAGCGCATAGGACTGTGCTTCACATTCTGAAGGCACGCCTGAGCATGAGAAAAACTGCATCACGATGGGTTCCGCATGATTTGACGGAAATCACAGAAATGGCTACGATTCGACGGTGTTCGTAACCACTTGGAGCGCTATGAGCGCGAAGGGGAGGCTTTCTTACACCGTATCATTACGCTGGATGAGACATGCGCCAAATCGTACGAGCCACAAATGAAACGCCAAACTTTGAAACATGCATCTATTTTGTATCAATTATAAATAAGTAGTTGCCACTATTAAAGTTCCAACCCTCGTACATCTGTTGTTATGGTTCGTAGCACTGTCAGAATATTTCGCCTCGTCTCCTATAGACTGCAGCTGTGCGAAGAACTCAGCAGGAAGAAGCACGACGCTGTAACTACAACACACGTGCGCATCCGAGGGACCTACACATGTAATAGCAGCAAAAACGGAAAAAATAGTTTCCCCATTAGATATATTCCAACACCTGATGATTGTCATATTGGCCGAAACATGTCATGACTTTTAAATTAAAACTTAAACTTTTAAGCTAACAAATACTTATTTACGGACATTCCTCTGTTGTTACACAAAAGGCCCATATGTCACAATATCATCCTTCCATAAAGACCTCGGGCTCTCCAGGTGGTCTTACCCCTTCAGATAATCCGAATGAAATGTTGTACCTCCCATTTCATTTTACTGGGCTTTCTTATCGTCTTGCATATGGAGAAGACTACAAATAATTATGAAGATCAGCGCAGTGTAATTTTCTCACCCTCCTCTTACCATCATTCTCTTATGATATTCTCAGTAATCTGTTCTCTAACTCCCTGAATCTACGTTGTTTCCGTAAATACTAAGGGAACCATTGCTCTAAGCGGCTTAGAGAAAGTGCTTCGAAACTTTATATAATGACGTCCCCTCAGTACAGCAAACATTTCGTCGCTTTCAACTTCTTAATTTTGTGTATGTACAAAGTTTCCAGATTTTCATTACCAAAATCAACACACTTTACGTTTTTATCAATTGACATTTATGAATATGAAATAAATATACTTGAGAATCACAGTCAATTAAGTTTTACCATATAACAATTCCAGAATATCTGCCCCCTCCCCAACACAGGGGCGCACTTTCTACGTTTGAAAACACTGCCTCAAGAATGTACAACATAGAGACGCTCTGCGACCTTTCGTAACATATTCCTAGGATATTCGGAGTAGAAACAGTAAAGAACTAAAGCACATATGGAACATTAGGCACCTACATTCTTCCCAGCATTTATTGTTAAAGAGTCTGCAGGTGAGCCCTGACTAATAACGCTGTTTATTGTTGTCTTATTACCTGCCCAACAGACAACGCAATGTCACCCATAACGGCAGAGGAAGAGTTCTCGAAGAATAACAAGTTGAAGAGGGAGAACATTGAACATCTGCGAGAATGGATGTCGAAGCAGCCTCACCTACCGAGTGGAGTTACAGGTAAAATCATCCAGCACAGGGAAATATATAGATCACAACTTGCAGCTGAGCAAACCTGAAAAGTCTGTTCTGTAGTTCTATCACGCATTTTTGTGATGAAGATCTAGGGATAGAACCGTTAAGGAAACATTTGTTTTGTTGGCACAAGCATTTATACAAGGCAGTTCGAAAGCTAGTCCTGTCTCGAACCACTGACAGAATGACACAGAAACAGCGTGAACAGGCAAGGACTACTTTTTGCTAATGGGTCATATGTTTATCTTGACCTAGTAAATGCTTATCACAATTTATGGTAAATATTTCGTTCCATCTGTTATTTCGAAGCTATTATGCGTTCAACTGACACATCGTTTTGTGTGGTCAATATCGTACCTACGGATATCCTCTGGTTCTTCTCGATATTATGACTTCCTTCAGAAATCATCTGTGAGACTGTTTCTCAGTACAAAAGACTAGCATAAGAATACAGCAAAATAAAAGGGTTTCATATGAAGATTATAAAAAGAAGTTTTCCTCTCTCAGTAATATGCCTACATATATTTTGCCTAAAATTTAACACGGGAATTACGGTAGGCTATCAACAAAGTTGCTGTCCCAGCATTCGCTCGGTACACACATAAATTTTAAAATATTTAGATAAAGAAGGCTATTCACAATATTTTGAAGACACGTATACACGAAAATAAGGCAATTAAAGACAATGCGGGATTTGAGATTCTAACAGACGTGAATACCAGCATTACGGGCGGTAGTGTGCAGTGTTACATGCTGTAGTTTCGTAGACGGGCAAAATAGAGGAGTTAAAGCAAGTGTCACGTAACTTCGAACAAGGCCAAGAGTAACCTTGAATGCGCAGAAGAAAAATTTCAGACAAGGGGGTGGTTCGAGGATGTGAGAAGTGACAGCAGTGAAAAGTGTTATGGTCTATAACGACAAATACCTAAAATTCATTTAACCTTACAAAGATAGTAGGAGTTCTGAGAGAAAATATTGCGCAAATCGCATAGACAACGTTCAATTCCTCCTGAGTCTTATAGACTTCACCATGATCAATTAGTCACCGCTATAACAACTATGAAGTTTGTAAAGAATCATTAAATAACCCAGTTATTAATCATGAAGTGTATAGAGGCAAACTGGTGTGATAAGAGTTAAATCACCAGACATAAATATATGTTGTTAATGACTCTTAGAAATACAGTATCATGTTATTGGATTATGATAATACAGGTATATTTATGCAACTTCTTCTGGCTTACTAATTACACTTGCATAATATTCAACATTAAACAGATGTTTACAATATAATAGTTTAGTTGAAGAGCCCGTCTGGTGAATGTATGTGTTATTGTCTAAAATAATATATATATGACATACATACCTAATTCATAATCATGGTCTGGCGAGTAGAACTTCAAGGAAGAGATTAAAAAATAGACATGCAAAGCAGTGTCAAGGTCCTTCATATAAATATAGGTTGTGGGAGGCCATTACGGGAGTATAACAGGTAATACAAACAGTTACGTGACGTAACGACAGGCCAACGAGTATATCAGATTCTAATCTCTGTGGAAATAAAGGAAAAGGTTGCCTTCCTGTGTACGCAAAACGTTTGTCTCTCACCGAGCTTCCTATCCAAACACTAATGGAATGTGAGCACCGGAAACAGCCTGCATGCTTATGTGATGTATACTGCTTATCCGAAAATCTTATTAATAGAGACAAATCTCCAATTGACGTTATAGTTAAGTAACTTATTCCTAAGAGCGATCGAAAAATTTCACCAGTATCACTTGAAAGAGTTAGGACGCGAAGCTGACACACTTACTTCTATTCAGTTTCAAGGTTGGTTTCTCGTGGTGCGGTGAAACAGTCCACATGTTGCATAGGTCTCTAATTGGCCTAGATGAGTATGGAGTATTTAGTGGAATGAGAATTGGCAGGGGAAACCAAAGTACTTGGAAAAACCTGGTCCTATTCAACTTTTTCTTTCCCCCCTTGGCACTACAGCCCCAGTGGGCCTAGGTCTACCTCCATGAGCTCCGTTCACTTCGGTTTTTCTAGATCTTACACATACGGTAGGACACCTTGGGCGAGTGATCAGCTCGTCGCAAGGCCTATACCTGTAGACAAACACAGAAAAAGGCACACAAACATTCATGCCTTGAGTGGGATTCGAACCCACGATCCCGGCTTCCGAGCGAGCGAAGACAGTGCATGACTTAGACCGCTCGGCTACCGTGACCGGCCCTATTCCACTTTGTCCTCACAAATCCGTATGATTTGAGCTGGTACCGAATCCGGGGCGCCGCGATTGGAAGCCGGCGAGTAACCGCCTGTCCTATGGCACGGCCTTAGTTCCAAAGTTACGAATGAGTAGAGATGTGCCTTCAGTTCCCAATACTGTTCCTTCATACACAGGGAAACTTCAGGTTTCTTCAACGATCTAACTTTTTAGCATATTGAATGGTATAGAAACAATCGGATACCGCTCTCACATATCTGCAGACCAATATCTGAGAAACTTTCTTTAAACTTACCACCAGCCGTTTCAGTTTGTAAACATGCACACATACACGGCTAAAGCTTTTCTCTAAAACACCATATTTAAGACAAATGTGGAGATATACCGCACCAAAGAGCTCGGTTGTGGACAGCCACTACATCACCTCTATTTCATGTGCCGAGATCAATAGAGGTGGGAATCGAACCTAAGACTGCTGTGGGTGACATGTGTTGACAGACGAACAGCTCATCTTGTTCCTGAACTGCTGTCAGCACAGCCTGGAGGCCTGCAAGCAAACTATCGAGGCGTACTACACGATTCGCACTCACGCACCAGAACTGTTTGGGAGCAGGGATCCTAAGCGGAAGGAGATCCAGCAGACTCTGTCCATCATGTGAGTACAAGCAAGAGACGCGCCTGGAGTGGAGAGCATGCATGTTCTGCTGTTACAAAGATAATCACAGTACAACTATTCCTTAACGATCTTTTCCTTGCCTTCTGTCAAATGTTCATCTCACAGAAAAGTATTTCAAATATAAATGGTAAAACTCTACGAAATACATGCTTCGATTTGAGTACAATATATCTCTACTATGAATTGTATTTGGGAAATGAGGATAAGGATAGGCTTGAACTTCAATTACAAGTCTATCGATCTGAACCAAAACTGAAATCTCTGGATAAACGGTTAAATGTATACCCTCAAATAATTAGAATAATATCCGTTTAAATTTTTTGAGATAAAATTAATAAGCGAACTTACAAACACAACATCCCCATTATATGTTCAGTTCAAACATTTTCTGCAAAGAAATACTTTCACATTAGTCCACTGTCCTCAATATTAACGATTATTAGGAAAAAGGAGTTCAATTTTGATGGAGGCTTTGGAAACCACATCAAAATGTCCTGAAGGAAATTAAAATATTCATAAATGTGTGATGCAAATCTGACAACGTGTGAATTAAGGATACTTCGAATTCGGAATTAATTCGCCCGAATAATGATCCTGCCTTGAATCAGACATAAAAGAAGGCAGACATAATCTGATGCCACTATAACTCAAGGAACATCGAATTATTAGGAAGCTAAACACGTAATTTGAAATTTCAAAGTCAAAGTATCTAGGAGAAACACTAAAAACCTAACATATATTCAAGATAAGATCAAGGGTATGTTCGGTAAACGCTTGTATTTTGCACTTAAGAATCTTTTATTTTCCTGTGGTACTTCTTAAAACATTAATATTAAATTATATAAAGTTATAATTTTACTACTGATAGATGTGAGTCTCGGTCCCTTGCCGTAAACGGAACGCATAACAGGCTGAAGGATGCTGCAGAGAATGTCTCAAATTATTAGAGACAAATTGTGAGAAAGGTGTAGAAAATGATATAATGGGGAGCTTCATAATTTCATGTTCTTCACCAAATATTATTAGAGCAATGAAATCAAGTATAAGACTGACTAGACACATATGGGACGAAGAAAAATGCGTAAACATGAAATAATGAAACATGATGGGAGATTTAGGCTTGGATTTGAGGATAATATTAAAATTGATTTTAATGGAAGAGAGTGTGAGGATGTGGACTGGATTGACACCAGTAAACGGCAAGAAAGTTTCTTGAACAGCTGTTCGACAAGCATCTCCTAAAAATGGTCTCTGGTTCATGGAGACGGTCACATAGCAAACTTCGGACACGTTACTTTGGTTGTCTTTGACCGTATGTACTTTCTAGAAGCATTAATTTTATGGATACTTAATGGAGGTAACCGAGTAGCGAGGTCATTACCTGCGTCAGCTAACTGAATTGCGTAAAGCGTCACGAAAGCTTCCTGGGAACATGAATAACCATGAAAAACACAGGAAGATCGTCATAAAATCAGAACTGATAAAAGGAAAATAAAGAGTGGTACTGCCTTACCAATATTGTGACAAATTGAAATGGTATGTCCTGCATCGAAAATGTTACTGTAGGCCTGACATAATATGTTGCCACTGTTCCAAAATTACATTGCATGTAAGAGTTCTATGTTGATCTTGTTTCGTATCGATCAATTGCTAGGCAACGACTCAGTATACACTTTCCAGCGAACACGCAACTATAGGAGCTGTATTCTCTGTGGACCATGCTACAACGCGTTGCTAGTTAAGACAACAATACCCGACAAGAGAAGACGGTGTATTCTATGGGATCCGACCCGAGGCTATATAACGAGAGTCTGTTTGTAGCTAAAGAGATGGAGAGTAGTACTGGGGTTAGTTGTCCCCGTGTGGAGGCGGGCTAGAATACCTCCACCGTGACCCTGCGAGTCGTAGGAGGAGACGAAAAGGGAATTCTCAGATCTGAGATATTAAAATATGGTCGCTAGTCCCAAGGGACTTGGACCCCAGAAAGACTGCGCTGGTAAGGGCCAGCAGCATATACAAAAGATAGACCCGTCCTCTCGTCAGAGATGGCGCCCCACAATAACAAGACCGTAACTGTCAAAGAGTAATAAATATCTGGTCATGAGCTCCAGACAGGACTTGACACCAAGACATACTGACTGACTGACCGTCAGTCGCAATATGACTTGGACTTGGACTAAAGAGATTTAAAGCCTCTGCTAGCACTGGAGTTGGGAGTAGTGCAAAATGAAGACTTTTTAATAACATGCTATACGTGCGAAATGTACACTTGACGAAGGGCCAAGCGTATTCATAAGAGACAAACAAATCTTCTCGTCAGAGAGGATGTTACATAAGGACGATTGCCGCAAGAGTTCAGCTGGAAAAAATCTCTGGTCGCGGGTCTCAAAAGGACATGTCGCCAAAACGAACTGACTGACGGCAAACCGCCAGTCGTAAAGTAATTTTGACCTTGACTCTGACTAGGAGATTAGATTAGAGAATTGGAAGTGGGGGTTCAGAAGCTCTATGAATACGAGGACAGAAGCGTACAAGGACGAGAATGTAGCTGGCCCTAGTGAGTTCTCGAGTGCGAAAATCAGCGATAGCGCTATAATTGGTTGTGATTAAGCGAGATTGTAAAAGAAGTGCCAGTAAATCCAATCATCTAATCCAGAACCCGTTATTATTCGTCACGGAACCCCGGACACGTGAGAATATAAAATAGTATATACATATATATATATATTGTTTATATGTAGGTCCATTGTATGCGGCAAACAAATGCTTATTTGTGAAAATTTCCATGCTCACTGTTGCAGAGAGATTGCAGCGCTGCCTAAGAGAGACCAACATGGGAATATTGTGATGGCTGGACGCCTTGTGGACGTGGATGCGTCCAAATTCAACTATGACGACTGTCTCAGATCGTGGTTCATGCTGCAAGATGTGACCCTGCTCGAACATGGCGCTGTTCCTGGTTTTGTCTTCGTGTTCGATATGAAAGGAACAAGTTTGGGACACGTCACCAGAATGAGCCTTTCCTCCATCAAGAAGTACTACATGTACATACAGGTAAAGGCCCTATATTCTCTCACGTTGTGTGTAGCTGCCATGTCGTTATTTTGCTTTTAATCGTGGCAAAGAATCCGCCGACTAATGGCGTCAATATGAGAAACAGTCCGATAATAAGGAAAGGTAAAGAAAGGTAAAGCAGCTATCTCTGTAAGAGGGCGTGAAGGCCCATAGGGTTGTGAGACGTCGAGGTTCCTACATTTCCTTCAGACAATCGGCTCACAGATGTCTGTAAATTTGTCAGCCTTACACCCCGGCCGCCCTTTACCGAAAGGAAGATTTCTGGTACTCCTTTCTGTTAGAGGCTGAGTCGACCCCAGGGCCATAGTGTGGCTGGAAGGATTAGGTTAATTAAAATATTCCCTTCTTTTGGGTTCGAACCCTCAAATTTCGGCTTGTAACACAGTGCCTCAACCAACTACGCTACCGCGTGCCTCTTATAATAAGTACTTATAGTTACTATTTCTAACAACAAAATTCTTAGTAATAAAATATTAAAAGTTTTTTCGCTTCTTAAAAATAACTATTATAGAAAACTCACACATAGAGGAAATAAATATTTAAGCAAGAATAAAACTATAAAACGTCTGATAACTGAAGCAGGCATATAAATAAATAAACAAATAAACCCTTAACAAATGAACCCGAAGAATAAGTAAACGGAAAGCTACAGATATCACCATCTTAAACGTTGAGTTTTGAAAATGATATCATACTCCATCGAACAGAGCTCATTTGAGACGCTGACAGTCGCGCAGGTTCTCATGAAATGCCGCGCCTTGTATGAGACTTGTACACTCATTAGTGTGTTCATAACGGACCGCATTCCTGGGCCAGAGAATCCAACCCAGAATTTCGTAACAAACATGTTCAAGATCCATTTCAATATGGCCTCCTCACAAGTTGAACCTCTGTTCTAATTGTCTCTAGTCGAGCTACATGACCTTCCCAGCTCACAGTTCTTGTTGTAACTTCTGGGACGTGAGGTCATACAGTCTGATTGAAGTTTACTGATGTTTCCTATAAACGTCTGCCTGGATGAAGAATGCCGTTTTCTGGGATGTGGCGCCGTGTAGATTTTTGTTAACCGACGTTTCGGATGAACGTATCACCTCCATCTTTAGGGCATATGAAATCAGCGAGCGATGAACCAGGGTAAGCAGGTGTCTGTAGACTCTGAAACGCTGGTTAACAAAATATATGCACTGCGCCACATCCCAGAAGACGGCATTCTTCATAGTCACCGCCGTGAAAACCTCAAATCTTGTGTCTGCCTCGATCTTCAGAGCTAAAAAGTGAGCAAGCCAAAGAGGATATCCATAATCAATCGAGATATAAGATTCTTAATATAAAATTTCTTCATCTGCTCCTTGAGGACATGACACTGCACAAGGACCGACTTCTGTACAGCGAATTTGAAATGTGTGGACAAACTTTGGGAAGGGGATGTACTTCACATACCAAGCAAGAAACTAGTCATATTGTGTGTGTGTGTGTGCAAAAGCTCGCTTTCCGAGTTAGAGCCTCGGAAATTTGGCGACTATTGCGAAGTGATATTCTCAACTTTGGTGGCTCTAATCTTTTTCGTATGGCAGCAAAAACCTACCGTAGGTATACGTCAGACCTTAAGAACACGTTCCTAATACCGTTATCAGTGTTACTGATTACAGACCCTGTCTCAACAGTTGAGCGGTGTTGCTCGTGTGTAGTGCGCATGTGTACTGGCACACTGTATATGGACTGCATGCTACAGTATATAGGGCGAAATTCTAACTTTCTTGTGGATATGTGTCTGTAAAGGCCCGTCCACATTACTCGTGCTCGTGCGTCAGAAGCTTACTGCTGCCGGAAAATTAGGATCTGGAGCTGACGAAGTGGACGCCCAAACTGGTCTGCATACAAAGCCTTCGCATTTCTTCACAACAGATATCAGGTCCAGATCCTGATTTTCCGGCAGCAGTAAGCTTCTGACGTAAGAGCACGAGTAATGTGGACGGGCCTTAAGACGAACTGGCGGACATGCATCTTACATATGGCTGTGCAGATGACAATGGTCTGAGGGCTGGGCTCCTCTGTCAGGAAACGTTCCCGTGTCAAAGCCACCCAAACCATAGAACATTTGTCGCCATTAGTGGCCGACTTAAGAGGACGGGAACATTCACGCCCCCTGCTGCCAATCGGGAAAGAGAGGGGTCTGTCCGCACACCTGATGCTGAAGACTGTACCGAGGAGGATGTGGGTGTCCAAATGAGGAAAGGAAAGAGAGTGGCAGAGTTCATGATGTGCAAATGCCCGCCTGGGGCCTATCGTATGAGGAGCAATTGCTGTATCCATGCATACAGCAAGTCCTTGTTCTCAAGCCAGTGAAATATTCAGTACGAGAGAATTTGTGTTGGTGGTTTTTTCAACAATGTAATGAGTCCCTGTTTCATTTGCCAATGCTTTTTCAGATGAGGTAGGCGATGGTACGGACGGCATTATGAATGTTCAGCACAGTCACACTCCCAATCTTGTACGCTCATACAGACACCAACAAAAGACCAACATTCTTTTTTAATTTCTTGGGGTGGTATTAGACTGAGTCCACTTGGTACGTCGGCCAGTAATTGGCCTATTGTACCAGCCCCAGATGACGGATGAGTATGTAGCATTTGGCGGAATTAGAATTGGCAGGAGAAGCTAAAGTACTTTGACAAAACCTGTACCAGTGCCACTTTGTCCACCATAAATACCAAATGATTTGTTCTGGGACCGAACCTGAACCGCCGCGGTAGCAAACCGGCAACTAACCGCCTGAGCTATGGTACGACCTAGTTCAGCATTATGGTGTGGACTGAGGGCTGTTCGGCAAGCCCGTAAGTTCTGTCACATCGGCTTGCAGGCAAACACTACCGAAGTTTTACAATAAATGGTCTGCCATATTTACTAGAAGACAGAGAAAGCATGTAGTTTATTCATGGCGATTTTTTTATTGCTACTGGAGTGGGACTAGGTTCCTTGTACTGCGGCCAGTTATGACCTATTGTACCAGCCCCAGATGATAGGTGAGGGTGATTGTGGAGCAATTGGTGGAATGAAGATTGGCAGGGGAAACCAAAGTACTCGCAGAAAATCCGCCCCAGCGCAACTTTTCCCATCACAAATCCCACTTGACCAGACCCTGGATCGAACCCGGGCCGCCGCGGTGGGAAGCCAGCGACTAACCGCTTGAGTTATGGCGAGGCCTATGCATGGTGATGCTCCACTATAGTTCAGCCTTGTTGTTCGAGATGGCCCTCAACAGAGGCATAGGTACAAGGGGACGCATTGCATGACCCCCTGGTTCACCTTATTTGGATCTTTGGATTTCTACGTTTTGGGGCACTTAAACCCTCTGTGTATTCAGTTCCTTTTTACAACATGCATATACTTCACCAGCACAATGCGAACGCCTGCCAGAGTATCCGAAATTATCCCGCGATCTCTGAACGGCTTGGGCAGTCCATCACAAGATGAGCCAAGCATGTATCAAGTACCGTGGTGGATACTGTGAGCACTTCTTGTCAGAGCGTCCGTTCAGTGCTGTAATTCGGAAAGAGAGCGTTTGTAAAACTGTATTTATATGAACTTGTTTTCTTGGTTTGGCGCTTGGAGCTCATCCACAGAGGTTGTGTGAACATTTCAGAATCACTCTGTATAATTCCTCTTACTTTAACGAGGGGTCTCCATGATCTACAGAGGCCGATGTGAAGACACTGCCCTTGTTTTGCACTCTACAGATATCGTCTACTTGCTCACTGCTCGGAACCATGCTAGTACGACCAATGGGAAAGAGTCCCCCCTAAGTACTTTTCTTTCAGCATGGTACTCTTTTATCGTACGTGCAAGTTCAGGCATACAATTTGAGGTTCTCACAGCGGTAACTACGAACAGTTGCATCATCAGGGATATTACACCGTGTGGTGCTCTTAACGAGAGTTTCCTTTCACCTGACCGCACGCCTTTTATTACAGAAGATTTATTTATTCATAGAAATGTTACAGTTTGCGGGCTTCTGGCTTAGGAGACCGTGCAAATAGTCATGTAGGTGGATACCAACGTTTCTGATGAAACTGCTTCTCCCATCTCCTACAATGAAGATGGAAGCAGGAAGTTTCTTCTGAACAACAATGTACACTTATGCAGTGTCGCAACCCACAAAGTCACAATCTGAACTCTCACCTTTGTGGAAATTTCAAATGTCACGAGGAGATATAGCTGAACCAAGCTGCTTGATTTAATAACGTAATATTTACTTCATGCATTGTCTAGAATCGAATGGATGGTTGATTATAAATTATGGGCTAGAAAGCTCATTACATTAATGGTCGCCTACTTTTAACACATACCTGTTTTAAGAACATCTATCTGGAGGAACTGAGCAAAACCACGCATAACTCACTCATGAGAGCCTATTTTTGGATCAGGATTGATATTGAGGACGTCTGAAAAACGAGACAGAACACTAACCACTACATGCAACGTTCAATTAGAAAATGCGCTCCAATTTCATATCACAATAAACTCCTCAAATTCTACGTAATACGATGCTATAATAGTTACGTTTACAGCTTTCCCGCTGCCAGCTTACCCAGAACTGTAGGGCCGTAATAACTATGTGTGATCAGCATGTGTAGTATATTGAAAAGTTATTTTGTTGAATGTTTAATTGAACACGTGGAATAAAAACTGCAGTTTGTTTCCGAGAATTGCGAATTACATATCTCCAAACTGTAATAAGCATACAGATCAAGCAGTCTATTTGTTTTATGTTTCCCCCTAGCTCTGCCGAAAACAAATGTAACCTCACTATGCTAGGACGAATAGTTCTGAATCAATAAGCAGAGAAATATCTTTCTGGGATTTCCAATATTTGGAACGACAAGGAAACTCAAAAAGGGGAGTTTCGAGTGCCTAAGCCTGCCTGCCCAGGGCGATTCCCTGCCATCAATAAATTTTGTTGAAATAGGTGGAACGCTGTGCAGATTTATAAAGAACAAACAAAGAAACAAAAAAAAAAAGTAAATGTATCCCTATAACAGGCCTTGGAGGCCCACAGAGTTGTGAGATGTTGAGGTTCCCACATTTTCTAGAAAATCGGCTCATAGATGGCAGTAAGTTTGTCAGCCTTACGCGCCGGCCGCCCTTTACCCCCAAGGATATTCGTGGTACTCATTTTTGTTAGAGGCTGAGTCGACCCCAGGGCCATAGTGCGGCTGGAATGATTAGGTAACTTGAACAAATCCAGTGACCTCATCGGGATTCGATCCCGCTACCTTTAGGCTTGTAGCACAATGTCTCAACCAACTATGCTACGGCGTGAATCCATAAAGAAAAAACAAAGAAACAAAATATTCTTATGCACATTTATAGCTCACTAGTAGTAATACTTTTAATATTAATCTGTTACCACTTCCTCACTGCCTAAAGGTCAGAAAGCAGCTGTGTTGCTTTGGTCAAAATGATATGAATACTAGACAGGACGCCAGTTATATGAATACTGGAACTTACTTCATTATTTCATTTGCGTTAAATCCACAAATTTTCGTCATGCCCCATATTCAAACATTCACCATCTCTCCGAAATTCACGAATGGATCTGCAGCATTCGCACTGAATATAATTTGGGACAAAACATGAAAGGAAATGTGTAATTTCCTGCCACTTTACATTTTAAATGTATTTTATTCCCGAAACTGTTACGTGTAGAGTAACAAACTGACCTGTGATAAGCAATGACTGTGAACGGAAGTATTTTAAAATGAAATGCAGTAACAGCTATTGAAAAGAGGAATATGCAGCTGGTTTGGAATAAATGAAAAAAAAAAAGAACTAACAATTATTCTTCAGTAAATAACTCTGTTTTGTTTTACAGGATGCTTTCCCTGGAATAGTGGTTGCGAACCACATGGTGAACGCCAATTCAGTCACAGAGACATTCATGAACTTAAGCAAACCATTCATGAAGAAGGAACTCGTTAGTAAGGTACTGATAACGCGCAAGCTCAGAAACGTACTTTTATAGAAACAGATTTTTGTGGGTTGGATTTATTTGCCCCAGAAAAAAAACAAGTGTTGGTCTCTTGTGTACAGGACACTTTCCTTTTCCGTAAAAGGTAAAGCAGTTCTTCACTAGATAATTAAATATTAGCGTCTCAAGAAGGACTCTCTTCCATGGGCTTAGCAAAGGCAAGTCATTATGATCTGAATGTCTCATTCCTCGTCAAAGTTTCAAAAACGAAATGCGCTGCTCGTCCATTCTTGAGACTATTTGTCTACTGGTTCTTGCACGAAGAGCAGAAGACTATATAATGTTAAAACTTTCATTACAAGATTACTCCCTCAGTTGGACATGTTCTTGTCACAGGACAACTGGTTTATGGACACATTTGAAGTTCCGAAATATGTGTTGTATTTAAGTTATGAGGTTTTCACGGCAATGACTATGAAAAAAGTCGTCTTCTGGGATCTGGCGCCGTGTATTCTTGGTTTTAACTGACGTTTCAGAGGAACGTATCGCCTCCATCTTCAGGGCAGGTGAATCGCGATGCGAATAGAGAGAGCAGTAGCTGCAGCTTTGGCTGCAGGCCTAATGCCAGGTGTAACAGACCTCATAGGTATTCATTTCTTGGCTTATAAAATTTACTGTTTTACTGAAAGTAATTATTTTCTTAATTTTTATGTGCCTCATTTACAATTTAATTACCTATATAGTGTTCCACTTAATTTCTCATAAATAACTGTTTAGTTATATGCATGTATTAATCAACGCCTATACAGAATGATTCACAGCTGGGCTGCCAAATTCCGGGAGTTGATTACCGAAATAATGAGCAAAAAGCGTTATTAGAACATTGGTTTCATTTCCAACCGTTGAGGGCCTACAGATATTTTACATGCGCACAAAAGAAAATAAACAAACAAATTAATCTGAAGAATTTGTCGTAATATTTATAATATATACTTCCTAAGTTAACTGTTCAAAATATTCGTTCTCAGACATGTTATCTTCAAATTAGAGTTTGCTGTCATTTGCATAAGCTCCTTGTGTTCTCGTGCGTAAACAGCAGCACTCGCAAGTCGACGCAGAGTTCCACACTTGTCTGTAGTTTGGTCTTGTAGTTCATCACTTTCATAAGGTCTCATAAAAATAAATGAAGCGCTGTTAGTTCCGCGGATCTCCGTGGCCACGGTATTGGACCAGCGCGGCCAATCTATTGATTTCACTAACGCTGATTCAAGTAAACCTCAACTTATCGACCAAAATGTGGAGGAGCCCCATCATGCTTAAAATACTCCCCTAGTCTTTTCTCCAAAGTCACATCTTCCATTCGTCAGTAAGTCAGATAATTAACACACGTTAAACGTTTTCCAAAATGAATTGTCCATTGTCTGCAATCACACCAAACCGGATAAACACTTAGGATCAATTGTGAAGCTGCTTCAATGTTGCCTCGAATAATATCGGCAGACCACAAGTGGGTATTCGGTACAGTGCTAATTTATCTCAATTAAACAGTGTTTTATCCTTGAGCAATATGTGATGAGGAAACTATGGATGCACAAGCATCTATCGAGAAAATGGAACACGAATTTCACCTTAAAATGATAAGGATACAAACATGTAGCATGTACTGTTCGTTATTGGAATTGGATTATACATTCTATGAACTCTGGATGTTCAACTATGTTGTACTACACACAACAGAAATCTGTTCTTCCATAGTACACTCCCCATGCATGGCGACCATTTTTACTAATGAAACAAGCCTCTGAACATACGCATGCGCGTTTGCTACCTAGACTGTCATGCAGCTGGACTGTGCTGCTACCCAGTGATACACACAGAAAACCTATTACATCCATTACAGCTGTTTTACTTCCATTTGTGACCTGCGCACTGACTCTGCCTCGTGTGTCCACAACAAAGTTCCGTAGTGCTATATGTTCTTGGTTATGGTACAACTGTCTCCGTTTCCCGCAATTTCTGATGTGTATCACTAACACGTGTTTATTTGGGTTTGGATGCTCATCTGTGACTTCGTTAACTGCCACTCTTCTGTTACAGTCACGGGTTCCGTAAATGTGGCGAGCATCAGGTATCAGCGGCAGTTAACCGTTGCTTCATTTTTCCGAAACACGCAGGAAAACAGCGATTTTGATCATAGCAACACAATATATCACGTTTGGCTTATGTTACGGAACACAAGCAAGGAATGAAAAAAAAAAAAGCTGAGAATCAGTAGTGAATCCAGACAAAGTGAATTCGTTACCAGTATTGCCATGAACTGAAATTAAAATTAAATTCGCTTAGTGTGGGGTGGTGTACAGTTGGGTCCACTCGGCAAGGCGGCCACTGATTGACCTATTGTACCTGCCCCGGGTGATTATGATGATGGAGAATTTGGTGGAATGAAGATTGGCAGGGGAAACCGAAATACTCGGAGCAAACCCGCCCCAACGTCACTTTTTCCAACACAAATCCCACTTCACCAGACCCGGGATCGAACCCGGGCCGCCACGGTGGGAAGCCAGCGACTAACCGTTGACATTAACTAAATTTCACACTTAAAATAAAACCGTCATAAATGATGTCATTTATGAAATGTCAAGGAAGTAGGAGTTTGTTTCTGCAGATCGTAAAGCATCAGGAAGTAAAACCAAAGTGGTATTAGCGGTTCTTAATCGCCTTCCGAAAACTGGCAAATCGATTCTGGAACACTGTATGTTGTATATGAACATTTTTAATGTCCGAAGTGGCGATAAGGTTTTAAATTAAGTTTACCACTTCTGGGTCAAAGGGAATTGAACTGGTAGCGTTAAATTCATATTGTACACCCAATGCAATCGATTTTCTATAATCTCCTTTATTCGTGTTACTAACATATAAGTTGTTGCATTTATGTTATGTAATTGTATTTATTTATTTTTTTCAGATATTTGTTCACTCGTCGTTTGAGACACTGCATAAACACATTACCAGGGATGCCTTACCCAAAGAATTTGGAGGAAATTTGGACTCTCTAACACCATACCACAGTAAGCTCTACTGCAACATTTCTCGTTGTGAAGACATATTTTTCCAACATGTCTTTAGAATTCTTTTAGGAAAATCTTTAAATCTAGTATTTATTTCTTTCCGCATCTTGATCTCCTTATCACAGAGTTGCTACTCTTTAAATACAGGATTAATTAATTGGTTATTATATATTAATTTTCTTACTATAAGCAGGTCACCTTGATTTGCAAAGAATGTAGGAAGACCCTTGTAAGTACTTAAAAATATATGTACAGGTCTACTATATACGTATATGCGTTCTGACACGTTCCTATGAGAGATTACTGGAGCTGAAGTTCTCTCAGCGGCAATTTGGAAGAGTATTATTTTCTGAGATGTAACGTCCCATAGTGCGATGGTAGTCTATTGGACTACACGGCGCTATGCCCCTGAAGATAATATTCTACAAATGCATTCACCGTAATAGGATTCTATAAATGAAATATGATATATATCAAATGTATTTTTTGAATGGTGTTCTACGACGAATGCAGATGTTATGTGAAGGCTCTACATGTTTAATGGTGCTATGGAGATTCTTTTGGATGATGCATTCAAAGACAGGACAATTGGAATGCGTACTATAGGGCTATTTGATTCTGGTGTTGTATTTGCTTCATTGCTTTGTTGACGGGCATTTGTTTGTCTAAATTTATTCGGTATTTTCCTTGTCGGATATTGTCTTAGGTACAGAATTAATTATTATTATTGTTATTATTACTATAAATTTTATTATTATTATTATCTCTTGTCACAGGTTTATTTCCTGGTATTCTTTCTTCTTGAACCAGTGATGCACCTCACCACTCAGGCTTCAAGCTTCGCACTGTAGCACTTTCCGTAGTANTGTTCGGCGTCGAAGGATCGTTCAAGAAACTGGACATAGATTGAGCAAAGCAAACAATACAGCCAAAGAGGGACGGCGCTTCACACAAGGACTTTCAGTAACGAGAGATGTACACACAAACGCATCCATCCAGTCTTACAGCGATATTCATTTATACTACGTCATATTCGAGTATTTATAAGACGTTTAAGATCCAATGGTTATTTATGCCCTCTCGAATATCAGTTGCAAGTTTATGATGTAAAACAGAATATAGATAACAATTAATTGAAGGCCAGTATTAAAGGATTTAACGTTTAATGCTTAATTTAATGTGTGATGCATATGACCGTAGCAGATTTAATCTCTGTTTGGTGCCTATTTCTATGTACATACGACACAGCACGCACGTATACTACACAACTAACAATAAGAACACACAACGCAGAGAAATATCGACATCTCCTACCGTCCGGAGAAACAGCAACATGACCCAATGTTGGTTCACGATTTTAACATAATAACTAACTTTTTTAAACACAAAAGAATTTTAACACAATTTAAATACATAAGGAAGCTATTTTAAGAAAAGTAAACATCACATTGCAGTGGGAAATTCAAATCGAATACCAAGAAAAGACGCCTAAACGAAACAACATCTTATGTAAATCTACACGTCAACTTGAATGCAAAGGGCAAATTGTGATACAGTGAGCTCTATTTATAACCTTAGTGCATAACGTCAAATCTTATGTGACAGTGTTTCCTGCTCGTACTGGTGCGCCTCTGAAGATGATTCTATTGAATCGAAACATGTAAGGCGAGTGAAGGCCGAAGTGTGGTGAACTTGTGTGTCGCACTGGACTGTAAGTTATCTATTTTGTGATTTTTACGCATTCATAAGTTCCGAATCGTCCATCGCATTACTTGAACCATCACCCCCCCACCCCAAAATACGTAAGTATCAATAAAAACATGTAGTTCCTCGTCAAGTAATTTCCACCATTCTGATGTGTTTACTGTAACCGAGGAGCGAATGCAAACCTGTACTAGGAAACGTTCCCTTCAGTCCAGCGAGGCGATTTCTTTTTCTTTCCGAACACGCTACTGACGCAATCGCCTTTATGAAAGGGTACTACGGATGCTCAACGTATCACATCGTATCACTGCGACCAGAAAAAGCTGTAAAGCAAATGAAGGTAAGCAAGATTCAGCTTCAACAAGTATATGCACAGTGAAGTCACTATCTACTCAGCAGCCAGAGAGCAGTCCACGTTGTTCAGGGCCACTCTGCAGAGGTACGTAACACGGCCAATAATTTACTTTCATTACAACTGCAAAGCCAGTCATTAACTACATAGTTAACAGTGTTACAAGAAATGTGTTACTAATTGGAGATTCTTTTATTAGTATCACCAAACTGTCTGCGTCCCCAGTTTTAGACCCTTAACACAGGACATCATTAATAACGGTACAGCCAGCCTAAATATTACGGTCTCTACCTCACCGGTGCTATTCCGGGGTTTATAGAAACGTGTGGGTCTCGATATCACACACACAAAATATATATATATACACGTGTAAGGGGTTAGCGTGAGGAAAAAATTTGGGTTCTAGATCTCATGACTGGATTTATTGGCACTACTTTACAATTACGGTGGATTGTACAAGCTCTCACATTGAACTCCTTCTTGATAACGAATCTATCACTGTTGTCTGAATCTCAGACTGCTCTCGAGTCTTCTACAATCCAGTACGACTAATTATGACTCATTACCACAGCAATGCGTGACAATCCCCGGCAAAAGCTTTATACCAGCGTATTCGTTGCTGCGGAAACGTATTTTAACTAGCCATTGTAACGGAAAATTAGTGTTTATTAGTCTTTGATCAGACAGCCTCTGTGGTCTAGTGGTCACAGTTCCTGGCTACAGATCCAGAGGTTCGGGTTCGATTCCCGGGGCTACCATATTTTCTGAGAAGCACTGGGACTGGAACGGGGTCTGCTCAGTCTCTTGAGGATAATTGAGGAGCTATTTCATGAAAATAGGAGCTCCGGTGTAGAGAACCGAAATTAACGTCCGTGGGGATTCGTTGCGCTGACCACGTGACACTTTCTATCAGCTAAAAGTTGGCAATAACTTCGCCGAGAAGCGGCGGTCGTTCAGTCGGTATATTTCGCTTGCGGACTAAAGCCACGGGGTTTGTTTAGTCTTTGCACATCAACGGACGTCTGGCTCTGGTTCCATTCTTCCGGCTTTCAGGCGTGACGTCACAATACACGTACATTTTATTGGGTCCGGTTTCGCTAACGTCTCTGGCTGAGAAAACGTGATACTGAAAATTTTGGTGCGAAGGAAATTAACTAAAAATTAAACACTGCTCAAGAAATAATGTGCTACGGTAGAGCACAGCATGTATCGATATTATCAGCTCGACTGAGTCGAGTATGTTCTAATATATAAGTTTATAACAAGTTGAAAGTGGACTTGTGGTTTGGCATGTTATTTAAGTGTGTTGAATTCAGTCCATTAGGTGTAATATGTCACCAATAACGGCCGAAGAAGAGTTCTTCAAGAATTCAAACTTGAAGAGAGAAAACATCGAACATCTTAGATACTGGATATCGAAGCAGCCTCACCTGCCAAATGGAATTAGAGGTTACTAGAAAAATCATTATTTTCTGCTATATTAATTTTGCCAAATGTACCCTTAAAATTGCTTATCCTCTCCGAATTTGTTACATACAGTATTGATGGAATGAGTGCAGCATAGCCAGTAATCCGGATACGACCCACGCCTTTAATATTCGATTACCGACAGGAACAGGGATTTTGCCCTTGCACAAGACCACACAGGCAGTATGACTTACCCAACTAAGTATCCACTGAACACCAGGAACTCCTTACACGGGGATAAACTGGGTAGAGTGTGAAGCTAACTAGTCCATTAAATTTAGTCTAGACCTTAAGTTTTACATCGTCTCCCAATTACCGCCGCATGATTTGGTATATGATCATAACGACTTTATCTTTTACCCAGAAAAGTTCACATGTACGTAGATGTTCCATGTCTGTACGAAATTTCACATAAAATGGTTGGGCAATTATTACCATAATCTGGACAGCAAAGTATACTAAACAACCAATTTAAAATCGTACCACACAGAAAATATTGCATCTCATAACTAAACTTTCGCAAGAAATCGTGGAATTGTACTCATGTCTTGCCGAATAACTGCACGAAACCTTCCGGCCCTCTTTCGGTGGCCACGCGTAACAGTTCCCACCGTGTTACTGCGGGCGATATTTTCTTTATTCCCTTTCTGCTGTTTTGTTTCTTCCAGCTGTTTCAAAACTCGCTTTCTTCAAGAGAATCCCTCAAAAATGTTAGTGGTTGTTGGTTCTGGGGAATATGGCGATCACAGTTAATTCGGAATGATCCTATCCCCGAGACATTCCTTCAACATACCCATTGTTATTGTGGCCATATGGCACACCCAGCCACCTCGCTGAATCTAACAGAGCGTTTCGTGGAGTTTCGACAAGGAGCATAACTGCGGTAGTAGCCGTAGTCAATACGTTTATGCGATCTTATACTGTGAAACAAAATACATCGCCTTACTAGAGCAAGATTCTCAGTGGATCAATCTTTTATATGCTGTGAAACTGCCATGTTGTTTCTCATTATAAGAACATTTACTTTCACACTGTTGCGTAATAGTATATTTCCAAGAACTAACACAATAAGATGAAAAAGATAAAAAATTAAATTTAAATTCGCTTGGTGGGCGTGGAGTCCAACTGGGTCCACTCGGCACGGCGGCCACTGATTGGCCTATTGTAGCCTGCCTCCGGTGATTATGATGATGGAGAATTTGGTGGAATGAAGATTGGAAAGGGAAACCGAAGTACTCGGAGAAAACCCGCCCCAGCGCCACTTTGTCCATCACAAATCCCACTTCACAAGACCCGAGATCGAATCCGGGCCGCCGCTGTGGGAAGCCAGCGACTAACCGCTGTTGTTCATGTACTTAATCAATTGAGCACCGGGCCATGAAGACGTGTGGGAAATGGAGGTAGATCTGCATAATTCTTCACTTCGGCACTACACGGAGGTGAGTGGTCAGCTTTATGCTCCGGCTGCTTCGTCCCCAGGGAAAGACCCTCCGGTAATCTTTGGATAAGAGGCTGCGTGGGATTCACGAACGGTCTGAATAATGTGGAGAGGAGAAATATTTCTTGACCCTGCTGGGAATCGAACCCAGTATCGTCCAGCCTGTAGCATGTCGCTATACTGACTGAACTATATCGGCACTCGAGGTAGTCATGTGTCGCTTCCACCTCAAAAGTATTCATTTTCGCCTTGATTTATTAATAAATATTCAATTAAATACAAAGGAGAACAATTTCTGACTCAACAAATCGAGGGGCTCTCTTACGTCTGCACCACTTCTTACTTTAACTTTATATTTTGTTGCTGGAGAAAATACATATCAAGATCGTACTGAAACTGGTGAATAACCTACCGGAAGGAAATGAATAATAACTGGTACTGATCATTTAAATAAGCTTTGCTGAAGGGATATTGAAATAAATGTAAGTCGACACACATAATCTATGCTGTCATCACCCATTAATTGACGTTAATTGGTTCCATGAGAATTCGACGATTAGCGATTCGTTATTTAACGAAACCAATTTTTCCTTTGTTTTTCCTGGTAGGGCCCATAATTTCACTAATATTATTCAAAGCTACAAAATATGAAGAAAAGTAGCGAACATTCATAAGATGACACTACGAGACTACCAGAATGGCTGGTCGAAGTGACTAAGCTTCTAAATATAACCATCACCGATTGACCGGGGAATGCTGGTTGTTTTGGTGTGTAGACATATTATTGGAGTATCGATGGATCGAATCGTCGATTTGCAGGGACAAGTCGAATATTAATTGAAATTATAAAACCTTAAGGTGTAGGAGTAGGAACTTCAATAATATATACTAATCAGAAAATTAAACTGGCCAAACAACTGTTGAATTAAGAAACTTGAACTTAGTACGGAGAGTATAAGTATAATTTATAGAAATTAAAATATTTACTCACTGATGTTAAGAATAAGTAAAATTTAATCCTACACGCTAAAGTATTTAAAGAACAAGATATGAGTCCGGAGGATACAGTGTTTCCACGCGCGTTCTTCGCATAGCACTAACTTCTATAATGCAGACCATTACGAAACTCGAAATGTCCTCATAACACCTTCTATTGTCCTCTAGTAGCAAATTTGATCACAACGCAATAAGCATTTCTCAACATGAAATGTACGTACTTATGGACAGACAGAGAAGTTCAGTTCATGTACGTCGTGCAAAAGTAGCGCAATTATTCTGCTTTAAGATACATAACTTATACACACCCTTCTGAAATATACTAAAGGAAACCCCATAGTTCACTACAGAAAATAATGGTAACTATGTACATCACCAGTCTAAATGTCCAGTAATTCAAGTTTCAGTACACGGTTCTCATTTACGCATTTAGACTGGTTGTTTCTCAAAGTAACCAGTGCAGTATTTTCTAAACATCAATAACCGTATATATGAGACAAACTCCGTCTTAAGTGCAACAATTTACTTGTAGTTCTTTCTTCTTTCCTTCCTCTACACTACATGTTTCGGCCCTAAATGGCCTAAATATACACCTGATGATGGCCATTTAGGGCGGAAGCATGTAGTGTAGAGGAAGGAAAGAAGAAAGAACTACAAGTAAATTGTTGCACTTAAGACGGAGTTTGTCTCATATATTGTGTGAGTGTAACAGGATTCTTAAATATAATATTATCAATAACCGACTGATATTTGTAACGGACAAGATGCATGTTTTAATGAAGGCGTAAATTGAATTTACAATACAAAATTAAGTGAATTTCATGCTTTAAAGGTTCATGTAACCAACCCAGGAAAGAATAAACGTCATCACCATCACTCATGGAGCTGAGCCCTTCTTGAGAAGCCATCAATTGTGCAGCTATTCAAGAACTTCCCAGCATTTTATGGAGCCCGTCATTTCCGTGTTCACAAGAGTCCTCTACTGGTCCCTATCTTGAGCCAAATCAAACCAATCCATAACATCCGATCCTATCTCTCTAAGATCCATTTTAATATTGTCCTCCCATCTATATCTTAGTCTTCCTGGAAAAATATAGGAAACAATAAACGTAGGGGAGGAAATTAAAGTTACTCGACTTCGTAACCTCAAGAACAGATGATGGAAAGTACAGGCCTACAGCTACTTGTACTTCCCGAGAGAGGGCCACATGGTATCAAGTGCAAATCAGGCCCCTTTGACCAGGGAACCGATCAAGACTTCTTGGCGAAGAGAAATTCTCAACTTCCATCCTGCCAAACGAAATGTCACTTCAGTCTCTTAGTCATGTTGCATCACACGGCGTTTTAACCTTATTTTACAGTCTTACAGGGCATTTAATTTGGTGAAAGTTTCCCTTCAAAATAATGGACCCTTGCAATTGTCACCTATTGCACTAATTCGTAACCTGTGTTTCGCGGAATCCTTGTGACTCTTGAGGGATTCCCTGCAGTAAGTTAATTTCACCAGTCTCAGAAACTTAAAAAATTCTTTATGTGACAATTCTTTCCAACGGTTTTACCAACCAATTCAGGGCCCAGGCCTCTTATTTATTTCCGTAATCATTTTTCACCGACGGTAGGACTCCTTGGACGAGTGATCAGCCCATCATAAGGCCGCTACCTATGTACAGGACAACACAAACAGAAAAGAAAACGCATACATACACACCAAACATCCATGCCTTGATTGAGATTCGAACACAAGATCCCAGCGTCCGTAAGAGCGATGACAGTTCATGCCTTAGACCGCTCGGTTACTGTGACAGGCTTATGTGACAACTACAAATGCAAAAGAATTATCGTCACAAGCTAAGAGAAATTTATTTAAAGATAATGATACTTTCTCCTGATGTCTACCTACAGAAAGTTTACAAGAATTTATTTTATATTTTGACCGTAATCTGTCATGTGAATAGTTCGATCATCAGCTGTTTCGAATTGTTTTGACAGACGAACAACTGATCCTGTTTCTACACTGCTGTCAGCACCGCCTGGAGGACTGCAAACAAGTTATTGAGACGTATTACACCATCCGCACACATTCACCGGAAATATTTGGGAACAGGGATCCTAAAGGAGAGGAAGTGCAGAGAAATCTGTCCATATTGTAAGTGCACTCTTTAAGTGAGCAGTTCTCTGCGGAGGTTAGGTATTCGACGTCATACAAATAAAAAAGCAAATAGCGTTTTAGCCGGATTCGACGTTTAGATACGTGACGATGACGAGAGGATAGTCATTTACAAAAGAAATTGTCTCCCAGATCTTTGGAAACATTACAAGACAACGGAAGAGCAATGAAAGACATGCCCACAGCAAGTTTTGAACGTCTAGGATAAGTAAGTAAAAAATTAAAGCTATCCGTGTAAGAGGCCATGAAGGCCCATAGGGTTGTGAGGCGTTGTGGTTCCCACATTATCTAGACAATCGGCTCAAAGATGGCGGTAAGGTTGTCAGCCTTACGCGCCGGCCGCGCTTTACTCCCCAGGAAAATTATTTAATTAATTCCTGGTACTCATTTCTGTTAGAGGCTGAGTAAACCCCAGGGCCTACTGCGGCCGGAAGGATTAGGTCAATTGAAAAATATCCAATGACCTCATCGGGACTTGAACCCGCTACCTTCCGGCTTGTAGCATAGTACCTTAACCACTACGCTACCGCGTACCCTCGTTCGTCTAGGATAAATGGAATATATCTTTTCTCTGAACATTCTCACCACAATTTTGTTCTATTTACTTTTCGCCAGATCGACTCATTTTTCGCATGTCCAAATAGTTTCTTCAGAACTTTGTTCTGTCCTCAATTTCTTTCGCTGTATCACGTTTGGGCAGCTTGTTAACAGATGATGCAAGGTGTACTAGTGAAATTAAATCTAGGATTGCCATGGCAAAAGCTGCATTTAGCAAGAAGAAGAATCTCTTTACCAGCAAATTGGACTTCAATTTGAGGAAGAAACTAGTAAAATGCTATATTTGGAACATAGCTCTGTATGGGGCTGAAACATGGACACTTAGGGCAGTAGATCGGAAACATCTTGAAAGTTTCGAATGTTGTGTTGGAGAAGGATGGAGAAGATCATTTGGACCGATTATGTGAGAAATGAAGAAGTGTTAATTAGAGTCAGTGAGCAGAGGAATATCCTACACGAAATAAGAAAACGGAAGGCTAATTGGATTGGTCATGTTTTACGCAGAAACTGCCTTCTAAAAGAAGTTATTGAAGGAAAGATAGAGGGGCGGATAGAAGTGACAAGAAGACGAGGAAGAAGACGTAAGAAGATGCTGGATGACCTTGGGGACAGAAGAGGATACTGTCATTTGAAGACAGATTACTGACAGATTACTTATGAATGAATGACTGTATCACGTTTATCGGTTAGAAATGTTCTCCGCAGAACGTTTTCCTGTTTCCCAATATTTATAATTATTCAAATTCTGATGTACAAATGTTACTTTCAGAATACTCTTCTATTTTTCTTTCTATATAATTGAACACTGATACACGAGGACGAATAGTTACATGGTCGATATGTGGGTGGGCAGAACATTGTAGCATGTACAGCCGTTGCTAGGCAACGATGCGAGATAGGGCGAATAAACATCGACCGTTTCTAGGAAAAGTCTCGGTAAATACTGTGACATGTTGACCCCTACCTCCCCAGCGGTGCGTGGCGGTGGCGTAACGCTCGCGTTCTTACGGTAATAGGCGAGTTCCCGCCCCGCCACTCCCCTCCGCGGTGACGTCACCGAGGGATATCGCGGTCGCTAGGCAACGCGAGTCAACAGCGGCGACGTTACGATAGTAACAGCGGTTACCTCCGCTAGCGTTACATAGCAACACAGCGCCAGGCAAAAAGGGTGCCTATTACGCGGCCGTTTTCCATATGGTCCGATCGAGGCTACATGAGGCGCAGCGAAGGCTATACAGTGAGTTGTTGTAGTTGTAGTGAGTTGTACTGAGTCAGTCAGCGAGTCCAGCAGCTACCAGTCAGTTCTAGTGTGGCATTTGGAGTGTACTATTTGTGATACTGCAGATAGCAGTAATCGTAAATCTGTAATTTGGGTGATTGTAAGAGCGAGTGTGAAATAAAATTCGCTATATAAAATACGGCGTGAACTTATTTGTCGCGATATACGCCCGATACGCGACAACTGGTGTCAGAAGTGGGATCAGTAACGCAAAACACGTTACAATACGTTCCCGCAGCAACGGATACGCACGCAACAACGGAAGAACAATGTTTACTATGTGGTCCGTGCTGAGATATTATAACCAAGAAAATTGGTGCAATGAGTTCAGTTGATCACCGCAAATGAGGCTGAGAAGAAATGGCGCTACAGTACAGTTCACACTTCAGTTACGGATTGTTAGCCAGCGGAAAACGGCGTGAGCACAGAAACTGACGAATCTCCATTGTTAGAATCGATTGCCAGGAAACGACTAGTAAAACAGACTGAGAAGTTTGCTCTTAGTTAAGTGTGTGTATCAGCGATAGCGTTATAAGTGCTTGTATTTCTGAGTCGTGTGTGTAAGTGGTCAATAAATCCATTCAGAAATTGAAAACCCGCCTACAGTCACACCCCTAAACCGTGACAATATGAAGGCATATATTTAGTATACGTTCCTACAAATAGGGGGTTTAACACTTTGTAGTTCAGAGACGAGTCACCTCCTTCTGGTTTCTTATTTAGGTTACTCTTCCAGTAGGAACATGGAGAACATACGTTCCTACGAAACGTCGGGGTCTCTTCGAATTAAAGGCGTCACAATCCAGAAGACCATACTCTTCCCAGTCACATCCCTGAGATCCTCATAACCAGTAAAAGGTAAAGGTAACCCTGTAACAGGCCGTGGAAGCCAATAAGGTTTTCAGGGTTGAGGTCCTCACGTCTTCCAGAAAATCGACTCACAGATCGCAGTGAGGTTGTCAGCCTTACGCGCAGGCCGCCCTTTATCTCCCAGGAAGATTCCTGGTACTCATTCCTGTTAGAGGCTGAGTCGATCCTAGGGCTATATTGCGGATGGAAGGATTAGCTAAATTGAAAAGAGCCACCTCATCAGGACTCGAACCCGCAACCTTCCGGCTTGTAGCATAGTGCCTCAACCAACTACGCTACCGCATACCCCCCTCACAACCAGTACGTTAATGTAATTTAGTCTGACCATTACGAATTTAATATTTACTGAACTACCTCCGTGGAGCGCACTCCTTTATGGGAAAGTGACAGTAAATCGGGTAGTCTTTTGTGGGAGACACTTTTAATTACCGCAATTACAGGTACCCGCCACTGATACCTATTCTCTGCGAAATAAATTCAGTTTATTGCATTCCTTCAATGTCTGTATCAACGACATCATCTTACCTACCTGCGCCTAGGTCCCTAAGGTAGGCTTCTTGCCTCCGGTTTTCCGAGTAATACATTGTACGATATAATTATCACTTCTGTGCTTCCTACACTCTCTGTCCATCTCATATTCCATTAATCTATCGCTTTAATAATTTTGGTGAAGAACAAATTATGAGACTTTCTTTCTTTCACGGCAGATTAGGTTAAGTTCCTCTGGATTTTAATACCGCGTAAGAAGTTGCTAATGGTAACAGGAGACCAAAATCTAGTATTCCTCCTTACTGTTTATTTACATTTTAAATCATTTCCTTGATGGAAAGCCGTAATATTTACACCATGTAATATGCATGGCACGAGAAAATATTTTAAATCTTTAAAACCTCGACCTTTTTCGTTATTACTTCTGCAGTGAATTTGCTAACCTTCCGAAGAGAGACCAGCACGGGAACGTGGTGATGGCTGTCCGCGTCTCGGACCCAGACGCCAATAAGTTCTCGCATTCAGCTGCTCTGAAGACATACTTCATGGTGCAAGATGCCATCATGCTGGAGACCGGTACGGTTCCTGGATACGTTTTTCTGCTCGACGCGAAAGGATGTGGCTTGGGACATATTACGAAACTCAAAATTTCATACATGAAGTTGTATGCTGAATATCTTCAGGTATTCGTGTGTAAAATTGCTTTCTACACTGCTACTTAGAGAAGTGTTATCAAATGCGCGTGACGCATAATCTATATAATAATTATATTAATCAGTGTTACTCTTCAAGATTTGAGTTTTTCACGGCGGTGTCTATGAAGAATGCAGTCTTCTAGGATGTGGTGCCGTGTAGATATTGTGTAAACCACGTTTCGGAGGAAAGTATCGCCTCCATCTTCAGGGTAGAAAAATTCCGCAAGCGGTGAGCAGTGGCTGCAGTGTGCAGTAGATATTTTCCTCCGAAATGTCGGTTTGCACAATATCTACACGGCGCAACATCCCACAAGACGGCATTCTTCATTCTCAGTATTACTGTTATTTCTGTATTCATTAGTACCAGGACGCCTTGAATCGTGAATAGTTCAACAATGAAAATTTTGCATGATAATACAAATTAAGTCATTCATAAGGAGCTAGATGAATGATAACAGAGAGTAAGAGGCTGGTACAAATCATAGAGGGAAGCACAATGGACCACTACAGGTCTAAGTGCATGGGGAAACCCACCCTCTCTAATAACTAACTAACTAACTAACTAACTAAGGATGTAACTTTATTATTACTTACTTACTTACTCAGGGAGCTGAGCCCTGCTGGATGAGCCGCCAATTCTGCAGCTACTTAAGAATTTCCCAGGATTTTATGGAACCCGAAGGTTCATTACCATGTTCACAAGAGCCCTCCACTGGTCCCTATCTTAAGCCAGATGAATCCAATCAATACCTACTTTATTATTATTATTATTATTATTAT